TTAGATTGAAGGGCAGAACAGAGAAGGGAAAATGGATCAAGAATTGGCCTGGGGACAAAGCAGACAATTCCAAACCAGTCTTTTTATTTGACATCAAATCCTGATTGTCGTAGTAAGTCTTGAAAGGAACTAAATTTTCCCCATGCTGGCCAAAAGTAGCTTGTCTTTGTGAAGAGTGCTGACATTTTTCCCCTTGTTTGTTGAAAAAAAAAAAAAAAAAAAAAGAAAAAGGAGAATAAAGAAAAAACATTAAAAAAAAAAAAATCAAGTTAGCAAATAATAGGGGGAAGGAATTAAATAAAATTGAGGATGTATTTTACGTCTTCTAACTCTCCAAGCTCAATCTGAAACAAAACAGAAACATTGGTGACTCCAAACACGATGGAAGAATTCCATGGAGACCCACATTTTCTTTCTACGCACTCTGGTGGTGTTTTTGTTTTGTTTTTTTTTAACTTAATACAGAGCAGATATAACTGTAACTTCAAAATTGTAATAGGACAGAATGGGAGCTTCGCATCATTTCAAAGCAGTGCTGAGATAGAAAGTCTTCCCTTAATAACCTTCGCTTACAGAAAGACCATGGGGAAACAGACAGCATAGCAGGTACAATGACATGGTTCTACTCTTAATACAGAATCAGCCTACCTGCCCTCAGACATACCTGACTTCAAAATCTTTCTTCTATTAAGATCCATCTTTTACAAAGTGACAACTATAAATTAAACAAAGGGCATTTAAAGTTATGTAGGTCTAGAATCTCTCTCTTCCCCTTTTAGTAGGAAGGCACTTGTATTCTATTTGTAAAACCACCGCCAGCAACCCACTACTAAGGATGCACTCACTCATCTATTCACAACTTTAAGAATATGGTGCTCCCCCGGAAGGTGACAGTAGTTTTTAACTCATCATTTTATTAGGAACCCCTGATACAATCTGAAAAATAATCAGTGCAGGTACAAATGTGAGGTCTTTGCTCAAGACCTTTCCTTGGTCCCCAGGAAAGTCAGCTAGAGACACTGGAAACAGGGGAGGGCAGGGTAACCTAAAGCGCTGTGTTATTCTGTTTCCTTGGAGGGTGGCAGCTGGGTCTCTTGGATACCATCTGCTGAAAGACAAGTGCCCAGTTGACTGTGCTATTCTAGATTTTTTCACAGTCCACATTTTACTCATCTCTCCCCACTTTGCTATCTCCCTTACTGCTTGCTTCATTACCTACCAGGCCTGAAAGACAATCTACCACAGAACCCTTTGTTAGGTCTTAACTCATATGGCACACTCCCTCCGCCCCATGGTTTTAGTCCAAAGGCATTTGGAAGAAATCCCATCCCATTGGTAGAAGACATATAGGTACACACACACACACACACACAAACACCCTTGAAATAGTACAATGGGTTTTCAGCAGTTTCGAGGGATCTTACACTAGAACTAGGTTGATTTAAACTCATTAAATCTGGTCTTTCTCTACTAATTGGGAACCAGAGATCATTCTCTGGAATGACATTTATCTTTGCATTGTCTGTGGAAAGACCAGGTTTGCTAAGTACATAAAAGTATGAATAATATTTTGGAGGTAATGTTTAAACTATCCAAGAGAAGATTTCTAAGGACTCTGAGGCTTTCATTGATATACTAACAACTGCTATACTAACTACATTATTTTGTGCCTAGTTACTAAAGCATCACTTTCCTGGCTTCCTCATTCCTGCAGAGGCTTCATCCTTAATTCTACCAGTTTACAGCAAAGCTGGAGTGCTAGGTGGTGCAAAGGATTACTATACTCAGCTACTAGTCAAAAGACTGAAGGGTGGAATCCACCTAGAGGCGCTTCAGAATAAAAGCCTAATTAATGTACTACTTCTGAGAAAACAACCATTGAAGACCCTTAGGAGTATAATTTATTCTGATTCATGTACGGTTGCCATGAGTTAGAATTAACTCAACAACAAATGGTTAGGTTAATGGTAGCAGAGCTAATCAGGGGAGCTGGTATGATGCTGTAGGATAAGCACTGGACTACTAACTGCTAAGTCAGCAATTCAAACCCAGCTGCTCCTCAGCAACCCTATACTGAGTGCCTGTGGCACAGAAAGAACTCCTGAGGCATTTAACAAGAACTGGTCTCTCAAGCTATCAACAATCCCTTTGTCTGCTTCTCCTAGCCACGCATTCCCTTCCTCGCTAAACACAGACCCCTTTAGCAAAGACACCCTAGGACTAGAGCATCCCTGTTGGGCTCCTTGTCCTTTCCTCTCCAAGAGTTCAGCAGTTTGCTTCCAATTATCTGTCAAAATTTTCTCTAGTAATCCATGACTCTTTCACCTCAGCGTGACAAGATCTTCAACTCTAGCTTCAATGGCCTTGTTTCCACCAAAGCTTCTAGCAGAGTCAATAAACAAAACGGAACATGTTGCTGTCAAGTTGATTCCGATTCACAGAGACCCTATAGAATAGAGTAGAGCTACCCCGGAGGGTTTCCAAAGCTGAAAATCTTGACAGAAGCCAATTGTCAAATCTCTTTCTCACAGAGCAGCTGGTGGGTTCAAACTACTGACCTTTCGGTTAGCAGCTGAGCACTTTAACTACTGTGCTACCAGGGCTCCTTGCAGTCAGTGCAGATCCACAATATATATCTGAGACCTGTGGGACAAGACGTGTTTTGGGATTCATAATTTTCCTAGTTTTACAAAGCGCATAGGATATATTTTATGTAACACTCCTAGAAGGCCTGGGGTAGCACTTCATAATCAAGCACACTGATAGTTCTACCACAGATGTATGCATTTTACCGTTGGTGTAATACATAAAGCCTATACAAGAGTTTTCGGTTTTGCCACCAAATAATTTCTTTTTAAGAATCTGGTTTGTAGAGCTTTGTGGATTTCAGAGTTGTGGACAGAGGACTGGGGTCCTGTAGTAGACAGTCACCACTGTCCTGTATGTGAAAGAAACATGTTTTCCTTCAAATCCTCGACATTGGCAACTGTCGTTAATTCAGATTGGTCCTCTCCGTAAGAAGTCCAGATTATGGAGACTTCCGTCCTCAATTACGGAGACTCTTCAGATTACGGGAACTTTATGATCACAAATGATTGTCCCTACCATTTTCCATTCTTCTAATCTTTAACTCCATGTACAAAGCACCTTCAGCTAGCTTATTTTTCTCATGGGTCTCTTTTTAGCTATTTATTTTCATAAAATAAAAGAAGAGTCATTTTGTGTATCCTCTGCTTAAACACAGGGGTTTTGTGTGTGTGTGTGTGTGTGTGTGTGTTTGGATGATCAGTAGATTGGTTATCCTTTAGCATGGTGGATAAACTTTTTAAGAATCCCTGTTACCCAGACCCCTCTCAAGCTATAAAAGTCAAGCTATAAAAGTTAAGTGTTTAAATGTGAGTTCATCTAATTTGAAGTATTAACTGTATCACACAAAGCCCCCTAGGCAATCCCCCTAGCACAGTAAAGTATATATAAGTATCATTCTTTGTGGTCAAGTTTTAACTTGACCAGTAAACCAATACACATAGCCACGCCAAACATGAAGCGAGTAACTCAGGGTTTGCATGTACATCATAGGATGCTGGCTGTATGGGGCACAGCACTCTGACAAGCAATTCCTAGACAGTTATTTTGACATTAAAAAGTTGCAATCCATCAACTTAACATCAAGGCAATACTTTTGGGACTAGAGAGATGGCTATTCAAAATGACACGGTGGGAAGAGAACAGTAGTTCAAACAGCCCCAGTTTGAGCGTGAAGGCATAAACTAAGCGGCATTTCTTACTTTTCTAGAACCAGCTATTACGCAATGCGTTTTTTGTGTAGGCATGTTATTTCTGGTGGTTGAATAGAAGAGACCTGACAAAGCTGAAAAGCATACAGGTTCCTGGAAGCACGGAGACGAGGTGAGAGGGCTACGCCATCATAAGACTAAAGAATGACAAAGAGCTGCTTGTCACACATCACCTCTAATGACATGTGATACCCCAAGACAAGATTTCAGAAAGTGCTATTTGACTTTTTTTAATTGCAAAATAATCAGATCTCCATTCAACTGGAATCCAGGGTCTATGGAGGACTCTTGGGCATTATTCTTGAAGGGACTGCAGGCAACAATCCTCGTATGGGGACCCCCTCTTATACTAATGCAACCTGGGCCTCTCACTCTGCTCACTGAACTCACACATGGGTATGGAGGCTTCTGACATTCAGTCAACAGCTGGGAACAAAGGTGAACAACTACCAGGAGGCTCCCTAGCCGCTGGAAGGCTAGGGAGAGTGCACTACAGAGGCAGTTCTCAAATGTTCTCATTTCATAAGAACTCTGAGGAGGCACACACATAAGCCCCAAGGAATGTCTATGATGTTGACAAGAGGAGAGCAAGCTTTAACCCTAGAAAGGATCAATGAAAAAGGAAGAATGGATAAGAAATTATGCATTTGTGGTTGAGACAGCAAAAGGAATGTTAAATGCATACAAGTAGATACGGTGGCTAAGAAGAGAGATGGAATCTGGAAGGCAAGATTGTCTTAATGAGCTGTGCTGCTTCCATGGAAACCAACATGGTCTTGGTGGTGGCCCACACCCAAGCAGGGTCACTGCCTTCTCTGCTGGGGACGCCTGCTCTCGCCACTTCCCTCCCATACTTTCCTGGCTGCCCGCTTGAAATACTGACAACACGAACGGCAAATTATTTCCAGGTTCCACTTTGCTATTTCACAGAAAAAGAAATTCATTCTACAGATGAACTATCAGCAGGTGAAGAACAATGAGCTCCTAAAGCAAAGATGAAGAGGATTATTACTGCTTACGTTTTATTTTCCTAAACTTTTGTAGCTGAAAATTGAGTTTTCTTCCTTTTTCTTTTTTTTAAAGAACGTAGCTTTACATGATGAACCACAATGAACAGGCTACAAGATCTCAGAATTCACACATTTCAGAAAAGCCATTTTTAAGCTACTGATAGTAGAAGCCAAGTCAACAATGTTTCCATACCTGGAGCTGATATTCTTCCGTGAAGCACAGACCGGACTGGCAGCAGTTCTTTTGAATTGGAGGTGAATGGTGATTGTCTAAATGTATCTTCTGAAAAGAAAGGGCTGGGGGTAGGGGAGGAGGAGCGAGGTTTAGTAAATTAAACTTATTTAAGATACCCAGAGCATCTGGCCCCCAATATATATACATACACAAATAATAACAGGATAAAGTATTTTAAGAAAATAGTGGTCAGAGAGTCTAAGATGAGAGTGCTTGAAACAAAGAGAGAAAACATATTCCATGGAACAAGTACCATCTGTACATTTTGCCTGCTGCTGTTATATTTCGGCTGACTATATGACACAACAGCTTTGAAACACTGCTATATCCAAAGACAGAGCAGTCCATTTTCCTCTTTCTCTGTACTTTTGGTGATTATATGTTAAACCCAAATGAAGCCCCACTTCAGGGTCTGAATCACAAAGGGCCTGCCCGGGGATTTTCCCAGCATGGTGACAGATTTGCTGCAACTCATCCCCACTCTGTCACCTGAGACCTCAGGGACCAAAAGCCCACATCAGAAGGACAGCTGGCTGGAGTCAGGGGCCATTAAACTGAATGAAACAACTTACTCAGCCCCACAGAGCAAGAAACAACGTTATAGAATTATCTCGGTTCTGAGGCGCTAAAGTCAGAAAATGGGGCTGCCAGAAATTACCCTGGACTACTGATGTGGTAAGGAGCTCTGGAAGCGTAGTGGTTAAGAGTCAGGCTGTGAACACAAGGTCAGCAGTTCGAAACTACCAGCTGTTCCGTGGGAGAAAGATGAGGCTTTCTGCTCCCGTAAAGATTTATAGCCTTGGAAACCTTGTACAGGGTCGCTATGAGTTGGAATTGACTCCATGGCACATAACAACACAACAACAACTGATGTGGTGCTGTAGGGTACGTATTAGACTGCTAACCAAAAGGTTGGCGGTTCAAACATACCAGCGGCTCCTCAGAAACCCTATACGGGGTCGCTATGAGTCTGAACTGACTCAACAGGACTAACAACAACAGAAAGGACCCTGGTGGGAACACCTTGATTTTACATGAAACTGAGGTAGTGACTGCAGTGAGTCTAAGCTCCCCTCTTGACTCAGCTAGATTAGAACCAGGGACACTGGACACCCAGTCAGGGATATCCGTAAGTTCTAGAATCAGATGCTTTTTAATTAGCGGATGTTAACCCAGTCACAGCATGCAGCCTCCATGCCTCTGTAGTAAACTAGAAATAAATATTGGGAGTTTAAGAATACTAGAGCACCCATCAGATTCCAACCTGCACAAATGGACAGTCCAATTGGTTTACCAGGTATCCCTGGGTAGTGCTCAATAGCTAACCAAAAGATTGGAGAACTGAGTCTATTCAGAGGGGCTGACGAAGAAAGAAAGCCCTGGTGATTTGTTTCTGAAAAAAGTCAGTCATTGAAAAACCCTGTAGATGACAGTTCTACTCTGACACACTGGGCTACCCATGAGTTGGAGCCAACTCAACAGCAACTCGTTTTCTTTATTTACAACACAAGAAATTTAACCAAGGGAACTGGGTCCCAAGGGGGCAGAGGAACACAGCTCAGCAGAGCAAGAAGCCAGAGTTTGGAGGGACAAGTGATTAAGCGTACAAATGCTAACTAAAAGGTCAGCGGTTTGAGACTACCAGCTGTCTACCTGCATAAAGATTACAGTCTTGGAAACCTGACAGAGCAGTCCTAGAAGGTTCTATGAGTCATTGAACCCCATTGCCGTTTACTTGAATTCTAACTTAAAGAATCAACTGGGTGGCAGTAGGTTTGGTTTTTCAGTAGCAGAGCCCTAGAGTGGACTACGTTGCTGCAGGAAACAAAGAGCGGCAAATACCTCAGCTCCTCCTTCAGCCCCTTCCCATTGGCCAAACCATCCCCAAAGTCCAGGAAACACAAGTTGCAAAGGTCAAACCACTAAACTCACTGCCAGGGAGTCAATTCCAACTCAAAGCGACCCTGAAGGAATTGCTCCACAGGATTTCCAAGACTGTACATCATTACAGGAGCTGACAGCCTCATCGTTCTGAGGGTTTGAACCAAGTGCTTACCAATCCAACACTTAACCCATGGCACCACCAGTGTTCCCTTATAGGGGTCAGCCCCATCTCCATCCCTAAAATGGAGATCAGGGAAAGGAACAGATCTAAAAGCACACACGTCAAGGCCTTCCACAACTGGAGGTGCTTTTCTAAGCCTGCCTTTTCTAAACAGGTTATATGGTTAAACCCCATTGCCGTTGACTTGAATTCCAACTTACAGAAACCCTAGAGGCAAGAGTAGAAATGCTCCACCGGATCTCTAAAACTCTAATAGTTACAGAAACCAACTGCCACATCTTTCTCCTGAGAGCAACTAATAGGTTCAAACTGTTGACCTTTCAGTTAGCAGTCCAACACTTAACCACTGCACCACCAGGACCCCTTATGGTTATTATTATTAAATATTAAAAAGGAATTATTAAGGTAAAAAATGAGAATCCATTTACTTAAAAAGTGAAACATTATTCATAAACAATAGGAGTGTACAGTTTCATGATTGTTAAGCTACATTTAATGCAACTTTGTATGTAGCATACTTTCTTTTTATTTCTATGTTAAGCACATGGAGAGGAGGCAACCATACATACAACTACAAAGAAGACCAGTTATTACCATTATTATTCAAATGTAAGCACCAACCACTAAAGCCAGTGAGGATAAAATTGAAGAATTATACCAACTTCTTTACTCTGAAATTGATCAAACAGGCACTCAAGGTGTATTGAAAGTTACTGGGGACTAGAAAATATGGCCTCGATGATAGAAATGATGCTGGAGATCGCATGAGAGAAATCTGCAAAACCCACGACTTATTCATTGCAAGCATCTTTTTAAAACAACATAAAAGGAGACTATCCACATGAACCTCACCATATGGAATACACAGGAACAAAATTAACTACATCTGTAAAAAGAGATGATGAAAAAGCTCTATATTGTCAGCCAAAGCAAGGTCATGGGAAGACTGTGGAAAAGATTATCAATTGCTCATAAGCTAGTTCAGGATGAAACTGAAGAAACTGAAAACAGGCTTGTGAGAGCCAAAATTGAACATATCTGACCTGAATTTAGAGACCATCTCAAGAAGATATCGGATGCATTAAGCACTAATGAAGGAAGACCATAGAGTTGTGGGATGACATTAAGAACATCATACAGCAAGAACGCAAAAGTCATTAAAAAGGTATAAAAGAAAGGCAAAGCCATGTGCAGGATCAGCAGGTGGGACTGCACTGTGATGACTCTCAGTTTTGGGGAGCTCTCCAAGCTACTGTGTGCAAAGGAATCTGGAGGGGCTTGCAGAAGACAAGACAGACCACCAGAAAGTAAATCCACGTGGGATGGGCATGGTAATGCTGATGGCAAATGCTGCAAACCAGAAGCAACACACTTAAAAAAGCCATAAAAGCCTATAAAACAAATTACAGAACTAAACAAATTTCATTGCCATGAAGTCAACATTGACTCATGGTGACCCCATGTGACAATGTATAACTGCTCCATCAAATTTTCGTGGCTGTCAGTCAGCTTTACAGAAAAGGATTTCTGGTGGTTGATTGCTAACCAAAGATTGATGATTCAAACCCATAGGAAAAAGATATGGCAGTCTGCTTCTGTATAGATAAAAAGACAAAACAAAAAACCCAAAATACAAAATCCACTGCTATGGAGTCAATTCCAACTCATAGTGCTTCATGGTTTCCAACCCTGTAAATCTTTAAGGAAACAGACAGCCTTAGTATCTCCCATGGAGCAGCTGGTGGGTTTGAACCACCAGCCTTGCCGTTAGCAGCCCAATGCTCAATCCACTGTGCCACCAGGGTTCCTTCCTTCCATATAGATTATAGCGTATAGGGCAGTTCTACTCTATTCTACTGTGTTATCACTATGAGTTGAAATCAACTTGATGGGACATAATGCTAACAATCTTTTCAGAAGCATGTTGACAGGTTTTTCTTCTGCATTGCCACTGAGTGGGTTCAAACCTCCAACCTTTAGGTTACAAGTTGAGCAGTTTGCACCACTTTGGTTCCTATATTGAAGCCCACTAATGCATAAAGCCAACTTCGAGGTTTCTAGATGAAAGAGGCAAAGAGAGCCAGCTAAGTTACATCCAGGAAAATGTTTCTAGGTTTTACTAAGTGGTGAAAACAGGCTAGCTTCTACATCTTCCGATGTTTTCTTCGGCAGTGAGCTTTCCATTGACGTGAGGAGTAAAGCCCTACTCTCCACGAGACACTCAGCATAAATTGAGTTGAAAAGGAGACAATCACTGAGGGAAACAACATCCTAAATTTCTACCCTGAAGGCCAGAAAATTAAAGATTTCTTCAGAGGGAGAGGAGAATGAGAAGGAGTCATCTGAATACTAAAAGGCACAAAAGACCAGCAATACTTTTATAGGCAAAGAATGAATGGAGAAACTTTCAGATGTCAAGGCAGCTTAGGCCTGGTGTATCTTATCTATTAAGAGAAGACACTAGGTTACCAGAGCACCACTTCCACCTGGACACTTGCTGCCATGCTTGGGAGGGGAGATGTGCCTCAGTTTAGCAGTCTCAGGGATCAGGGGATCTGATTCTGAATTCCATAGTGGCCACTTTACAGCTAAGTGACCTTTGGCAAGTCAGTGGTTTACTTAGGCTCAGTTTCAGCATTGGAAAAGAGATGGAAGATTAATTGAGTTATTTAACGTTCTTGATACATAGGAAACACTTAAGAAAATGAACAAAACGAACACATATAGTTTTAGTTTACCAGGAATTTGACAGTCTTCTAAATTGCTTTTTGAGTGTTAAATTCATTCAATCCTCAAAACAACCTTATGGGAGAAGTTTCCATGATTATTACACCCATATTTTATAGATAAAGACATTTAACCACAGAAACCTTAAATAACTAGCCCATATCCAGAGAGCTGAGTCAGGATTTGAACCCAGGTAAGTTAGCATCACAAGGAGCTCTGGTAGCATAGTGGTTACAAATCGGGCTGTGAACCACAAGGTCAGCAGTTCGA